ACACCGTTGTGTTTACATTGTTATGAAAGAGGCAAACCTAGTTCACCCAAACTTGGCACATGGAAATACCCCACTCTGATGTTCTTCACTAGCCAAAAAGTCTTCAATTCTAAAATACTACTTAGAAGTAGTTTTAAGGTTCTAGTCCCTCATGACTACCCCCAAACTTTGCTTTTCTAAACAAGAATGGCAATTTGGCATAATTCTGATCCTAGGCGTAATTTCTACATTTCAGTCAGTTTACTAAGCACGAGGACCATGTTTCAACACATAACCCCCACTTGCCGATTGAAGTGTATAACTTTCAGCAGTACATTTCCATCATTTTTCCCCAACATGCTTATTCCTTAAAACGAAACCACCATCCCTACAATTGACATTCATTGTTACATCCCAAAGTGTTTGAAATATTTTAAAAAATGGAGTCATATTCTCATAATGCCCTTATAGAGATTACAAAGATTAAAAAGAATCCACAAGTATTACGGCACTGTGTGAGACTTATTTGTCATGACCCAAGGGAAGAACAAGACTGTAGTTCTGTGCAAAGTTGTGGAAATGGCCTCAGTTCCATGGGAAGTGGTATTCCACAATAGACTTCACTAGAAGGATAATCGAAACCTTTTACTTTAACACTGAAAGCACAATTCAACACATTCTTAAAATTCAAGTTTCAAGATTTGGAGAGATGCTAACATTCTGTTACATAATTAACTAGAAAATACTTGAACAGAATTTCAGGAAGACTCTAAGGAAAAAAGGAAACAAGTTTTTGTTAATTCCTGCTGAAAGGCAACTTGAATTCATTTCTTAGAAAGTTAGCTAAATCTTAGCAGGAAAGATAATTTTAAATGTATGGAATAAAGAAAAGCACATCCATTTTTGACATTTTGGTGAATAAACTAACAGCTTTATTAATGAAGGCAAACATCAGATAATTGTGTGAATATTATATATAAAAAAAAGAAATCCAAACTAACAGCATTGTATTTCAAAAGTACTGTACTTCTGTTTCTTTTAAAGAGACTTGTCATCTGTTTTATAAAACAAACAAGTATTCTTCTCCTAAAAAATTCTGGAAAAACGAAATAGTCAATGTCAAGCCAATGAACTGAACACACCTTTCTTTAAATGCAGACTATTGCTAAGAAGCAAATAAAGTCAAGCATCAGAAAGAAGATGTATGACAAAGTCATGAAAGTCAGAAAAAAGGGATGTAGTGAAATTACTGCTAATTCTCCCCCCTTCGTAATCAAAGACCATTCAAAACTGGTCTTTCGTACAAATATAAAATAACTATAAAGAGAAGGGAATTTGAAACCATGTCCATCTGAAATCCTTCATGATGCATTTGTAATAGCTCTGATTCTCTTACCAAAAAGGTCAAAGTTAAAGATTTAGGAAGAGGAAGGGAATGAAGAGACATTTAGTTTTAAATGTACAAGTAAGGCACAATATAAAGCCACATCATAATCTGTCATGAAGGATATAGGAAAGGACAAGAATCATACATGGTACAGTAGAACAAGCAATCATATTGACTGAAAAAGTGTGGCACCCATTTCAAAACTCAGACAAGATCTTAACAAGAGCAACTGGACAGCATGCTTTCATATGGAAACAAACTCTATAAAGAATCCAGTGTATCTGAAACTAGGAAAAATGGTTTTTGTTTGTTTTTAAATCATAGTAGTGCTAGAGTTAAAGTTTATAATTGCTTTTGGAACGATGGGTTTATTTGAGGTGAATTCACAATGCCTTCACTTAAAGTAAGATTCTGGACTTCATTATGAGCTATCTGTATACCATGTATGAACACAGAAAACCTTTAGAGAGCTCTTCTCTAATGATCTTCACTCAAAAGATACATGCCACAATTTAAAAAAAACAGAACATGTACAATTGTTGGGGTTTTAATGTTACCCTTATAAGATTTGTTTGTGTGATACACTAAACATATATATTTTAATGACAATAGAGGAAGCAGATTATTACTGGCATTAAAGTACAACCATTTCTAGACGGTTTTAAATGCCACAGAGTCCCCTGGTTAAAATGTAAAGCTGCACAGCTTGCCTATGTCATCTTTATGATAAAGTTAAAACAGCAAAAGGATTTAACTTTTACTCTACATTTTACTGCCAGGTTTTTATTTAGATCAAGTATCGCTGCAGCATTCTGACCAGCCCAGATTTAGCAGCAAATGGCAGGAATCATATAAAATGCAATTTTTTTTTAACAAAGTGCTTTTCTAAGATATACATACATATATAAATAGGTACAAAATAAAGTGTCAACATTAAAAAGCTCAACTATTTAAAAGCTTTTAACTATTTAACTTAAGTAGTACATATAAAACACTGAAATGCAAGGATATGGAATCTACTAAACAGATTCAAAGTCTTTTTTTTTCTTTTTTTTTTTTTTTTTGAAATGCAAGACCAAAAAATCATATTCTGGTTTGCAGACAGGAGAAAGGTATCAAAAACCAGAATTCCTAATAGAGCAGCTAGAAAGGGGCAATTTTATGAACCTCATCAGCTGAATCTCTATCATGAAGCGATCTTCACCTGATTGCAAAACTGCCATATTTTGGAGCACTTCTCAATTTACCAGACACACACTCTGTCACAACTTCACATTCTTCCAAGTTACAAACCTGTGCTTTGTCTTCTCCCGTCTAAAAAAGGAAAAACTTTAAACAATGAATGTACATTCTATTGAACCATTAGATCTGAGCTTATCATCTGTTTAGTGTGAATGCACTGACCAGGTACATTTCCACCAAACACACAGGAAAATCTTGTGCATCACAGTTCAGCTAAGGTGTAAGACAATCCTTCTCGGCAGGTAAGCAACATCGTTCAGTTGTTACTGTGTTTTAGAATTAAGCCTTCATAAACTACAGCTTCATAGGCTATAGCTTACAAATAAGGTGGGGATGGGGGGGGAGGGAAGAGAAAGTAAAAGGAAAGAAAACACATTATGGAGACAAAATATAATTAAAAAATACATTTTCCAAGGGATAAATTGGAGAATTAGATACCAGCGGCTAGGTCTGAAATTTTAGGTTCTTGCTTTTTTCTTCTTGCTAGATAGCATATTTTTGTTATTTGCTTTTTGTTTGTTTACGAAGTTTTTAAGCCACCAGTTTTCAGAGTTAAAAAATGAAGATTTGAGGATAAAACAGAAAGAAAGACAGGATGAAGAAAGTCTATGGGGGAAGGTTTATAATGCTGCCTTGATGTAAGAAATTTCTCATCAGGAGGTAAAGCTTTAACACAGTTAAAACACTGACTAATGAAGCTGTCTTATGTGAGCAAAAAAGAGCACCTAAAAACTAAATATGTTGGTATTTCTCAGTTCTAGAAACTATAGAAGAAGAATAAGTCACATGTAAGTTTGAAGAAGCTAGTTGGAAAATATCTGTACAAAAATATAAAAATCTATAAATTTTTTTTGTTTTTGTCATAAGCTTGTGTTGATCTTTGAAAATATTACATGCACAATAATACATCAATTGGAAAAGTGGCAACTAAAGAATTAGATATTTTTAGCTTTCTTCTTTCTTTACATATATATATATACATAATACAATAAAAATAATCTGTATTTTGGTTGTTTGGTGGAAGTATACTACAATAAGCTAAATAAACTTTTTAATTTTCAAAGTCAAAAACTATTTTACCAATAGCTTACTAAAATGAAATATATTAAATTTCCTACAATAAGTGCAGAAATAAAAAGATTTACAGACACCTAAATGGCCACCAACTTATCTACTATGGAAGCGAACTAGAGGAAGCAAAACAATATTTGTATGTATGGATGCTCCTTCTGTAGATAATTGGACCCAAACAGAAATAAAATTCACAGTTCAGTAAGATCCCTAACCCTGACCTTTTAAATTTTTCTTTTTTTTTTTTTTTTCCTTTTTTTCATACATTCATACAGTATCATGTAAGCTGTGCAAAACTTTACTTAGACTGGCAGTTTGCCATATCAGTTGCATTTGTCTTTGGTACAAAAAATAAAACAATCGCAATAATGTGCAAGTATTTGTCTTCTTCCGGTCAAGTACCGAAATTGAGTTTTCTAGAGCCATCTTTTTTTTTGTTTGTTTTTTTGTTTTTTATACAATACACAGACTCTGTGGCATATATCTACATTTCAACATAGTCCTATATACATTCAAAAAATTTGAAAAAGAGTTGGAACAAAAAAACATTTAAACCCCTTAATTTTTCCATCGATATATCTTGTTTTTCCTCTTTAGGGTTTTTTCATCATACAAAATATTACCAGTTTTATAGTTTCCCCAAAATACAAGGCACAAAGAATATGCTTTTTTTTTTTCTTACTTGCACAGACATTTATATATATATATATATATATATAT